AAATATTTAAAATAAATGAAAGCCACTTCAGCTAACGAATAGAGAGGTCGGAAATAAAATAAAGGAAGTGACAGTTAGACAGCTGGCAAAGATGTAACTGTTATGCCGTTTAAAAGAAGAAAAAAAGGTTAAGTTAATGAAGGAAGCTAAGGCTTATTATTGTCACTTCTCCGGTAGTGGTGACAGCAATTAGCGGATTAATCATAGCAGAGAATAGGATGCAAGATTGTTTAATAGATAGAAAGTTTTGCAACGGAACGATATTTGCAACGAAGCAAGATTTCCTCATGGTGAGAAACTTCTGTTATTGTCCTTTTTTTTTAACTCTTTTCCCAAAACCGATTTCTATAAAATACCTTACCATATCTCCTGTAATTTTAAATGAAAACAATATCATAATTCAGGACATTCGATGGCTGTTGTATCAAGTATACCTAACTCATGGTACAAGATTGATAGGGTTGTAAAGATTCGGCTAACTTGTTCTTTGCACAATGGGCACTGCATAAAGCGAAAAACAATCCGTGGCCCGTTCCAACGCTTCTCGAGTACAGTTCGCACACAGTGATAATGGAAAATATGGTCGCAAGCCAGCTGAATACACGGTGCACCACCCAAACGATCCGTAAAACATATTACACACAAATCATCTGCATCTTGCTTTATATCTGAAAATTCAACTATGGAAGAAATGAACATTATTCCTCTAGAAGAATAAAAGATAGTATAACCAATGGTGATGCTTTCCTTTAAATTTTCAAATATAATTTTTCCTCAATCTTCAAAAAAAAATAAAATAAAATAAAATAAAAAATATAAGACAAGGCAATTGTTTGACTTTTGAATTCGATAAAAACCTTTGAATAGAGTTTGGTTAAAATTTAAAATTAAATTAAAACTTTTAACTAACAAAACATAATATTTGCTACTTTTACCTGGCTTTCTGCATTGAATGCACGGTAAGCATACTTCTTCATCACGTATACCACCACAGATATGACCACATGAGAGCTGTTGTTGACAAGCAAACGTTGCAAAATTACGACACTCTTCGTAATTACACAAACCATCGATCAGCTAAAGGTATTTGTTAATATTTGTGAACTTTGGACGAAAGCGTTGCGAATACGTAGAAACAAGACACATCATATCCTTCGATTAAAAAATGTTGAATTGTATTACAGAGATTATTACTAATCCGGATAACTCGTATAGCAATCAACAAGTCCTTGTTTTCTGTCTTTGTCATTTGCAGAACTAGAGTAAAAATTTTCAATTCAAAACCTATAAAAGCAGTTTGGGAAACCGAATGGCTCAAATAGCTTAATCCGAAAAATTCTTGGAACTACCAATAATACCCCAGATCATTTTAGTGAGCATACAGTATTATTTATGTTGGGAAATTCGATCAGTACGAAAAAAAACCTGATCTGGACGCAAGAGAGTGGTACAAAAACGGCAAGTATAGTTTTCATGTGTTTGAGCAGGATTTGACACTTCTAAAATAATTTAAAGGTACAAAATTTTTATTTGCTTAAAATTATTTTACTTAGGATTCGATACAAAACTTGACATATCTAACAGCACTGAAACCTGACATACTTTATGCTTTATGTTCTATGGTCCATAATCAGGAACAGGAAAAGCTTTTTGAGACTTGGAACAGTGAGAACAAGTATGTGGTTTAAAAACCTCTTGATTTCCAGAAGAATTACTCTAGGTGCATATGTGGTCAGGTTAAAAGAAAGACTACTTCAATTAATATAGGTATATTGCCATAGAATTTATCATCCAATATAAGAAGATAAAAAGAAATGAAAGCGAATGGAAAATGGCTCACCAGAAATTCGATTATAAGATACTGGCGGTATATTTTCGTGGATGATACTTTGATTAAATTCTACCATTCCGTTCAGAGTAGATGGATTGAACAGTATCTGTGAATGTCCATTGGTTAAATTATGTACAAGTGGGTCAAAGAAAAAACTGATAGAAAGACATTCTTGGAAGAAGTATAAATTAGATCTTAGATAACTGTTTGAACTATAGAGTCAAATATATATATTTTTTCCTACCTCCAAAAATAAAGTTGCAAAGGATTTCATCAAAACTATGTATCTAAAAAATGCATTTTGGTAACGAAGAAGAATAAGGACTTGTCAATCAAGCAAAATGGTTTTGTATGGGAAGTAAAAATTAAATTTAAAAAGTGAAATAATAGAAAAGCCGAATAAATTAGAGTATAAAGTTATAGCTTAATCCTTATAGATAATAATGCAAGCTCATAAAGATAGTGCAAGTACAAAATTACTAATCACATCTTTTCAAAAAAAAAAAAGATATTAACGAGATAGATCCAATCAAAAACTGTGAATCCCAATTTGTTGATAAATCAGCAAAAAAATAAATTTTGGGAGTGCAAAACATACCAAAACATGTGGCAAACGCAATCGAGTGGAACCTTCATGTACTTCAACTTGTGGACAATCATTTGTTACACCAAGATATTGCACAGCATGACTACTGAAAATTTAATATACAAGAAAGATTTATATCCAAGGTTAAAAAGAAAAAAAAGATGAATAGGATATTGCAAAGCTATGGGATCCAATTAAATTAAGTCACTAAACTTTCAATCAAAAAAATTCTCAATGATTGATATCACTTACCGATTTCGTTTATTTAAATGAAGGACGGAGAAACATTCTCGACATAGAGAGCATTGACAAGTTTCACAATATATGCTGGCTAAAGTGCGACCATCATCGTGATTGTCACATAAGGTTTCCGATGCACTTTCTTTGTTATTCTTCAAAAAGTCTTTTATAATAATATGAAAGAGTCTTTTATAATAATATAATAATATGAAAGAGTCAAATAAAAATAATATAATAATATGAAAGAGTCTTTTATAATAATAAAAAGTCTTTTATAATAATATGAAAGAGTCTTTTATAATAATATATATAATAATATGAAAAAA